CTTTGCTAAATGACATTACACTGTTGGACAGTTTAAATTTCGAATAGTCTTCCCATCTAATTAACAATTCACTACAATTCAAGTGTCAAACAACATGTCAAAAAATCAGTGTACGAATAGCAAAGCTCAATTGGTAAGGACCTTGCAACCTGTACACTATGGTATACACTTTAGTTTACACTTCGCCACATGACATTACCCTGTTGGATAGTTTAAATTTTGAACAGTTTTCCCATCAAATTGACACTTGCAAAACGTGTCAAAAATTAGTGTGCAAATAGCAAAGTTCAATCTGTTAGGACCTTGCTGCATGTACATTATGGTGTGCACTTTAGTTTACACTTTTCCACGTGACATTACCATGTTGGATAGTTTAAATTTCGAGTAGTTTTCCCATCCAATTGACAGTTGACAACAATGCAAGTGTCAAACAAAGTGTCAAAAATCAGTGTACGAATAGCAAAGTTCAATTCGTAAGGACCTTGCTACATGTACACTATGGTGTACACTTTAGTTTACACTTTGCCACGGGATATTACCCGATTGGACAGTTTAAATTTCAAATAGTTTTAGCATCCATTTGAGAATTGACAACAATACAAGTGTCAAATAGCATATCAAAAATCAGTGTACAAATGAAAAAGTTCAATCCATAAGAACCTTGCTACATGTAAACTATGGTGTACATTTCAGTTTACAATTTGCCACGTGACCTTACCCTGTTGGACAGTTTAAATTTCAAAAAGTTTTCCCATCCAATTAACACTTGACAACAATGCAAGTGTCAAACAACGTGTCGAAAATAAGTGTGCGAATAGTAAAGTTCAATAGGTAAAGACCTTGCTAAATGTACACTATGGTGTACACTTTAATATACACTTTGTCAGGTGATATTACCCTATTGGACAGTTCAAATTTCAAACAGTTTTCCCATCCATTTGACTCTTGATAATAATGCAAGTGTTAAACAACGTGTCAAAAATAAGTTTACAAAGAGTAAAGTTCAATCAGCAAGAACCTTGCTACCTGTACACTTTGGTGTACACTTTAGTTTATAATTTGCGACGTTACATTACCCTGTTGGACAGTTTAAATTTCGAATAGTTTTCCCATCTAGTTGACACTTGACAACAATGCAAGTGTCAAACAATGTGTCAAAAATTAGTGTACAAATAGCATAGTTCACTCGGTAAGGACCTTGATCCTTGTACATTATGGTGTGCGCTTTAGTTTACACTTTGCCACGTGACTTTACCCTTTTGGACAGTTTAAATTTCAAATAATTTCCCATCCAACTGACACTTGAAAACAATGCAACTGTCAAACAACATGTCAAAAATCAGTGTACGAATAGCAATGTTTAATCCATAAGAATTTTGCTACATGTAAACTATGGTTTACAATTTAGTTTATACTTTGCCACATGACATTACCCTGTTTGATAGTTTAAATTTAGAACAGTTTTCCCGTCCAATTGACTCTTGGCAACAATCCAAGTGTCAAACAACATGTCAAAAATCAGTATACAAATAATAAAGTTCAATCGGTAAGAACCCTGTTACAAGTACACTATGGTGTACACATTTTAGTTTAAACTTTACCACGTGACATTACCCTACTGGATAGTTTAAATTTTAAATAGTTTTCCCATCCAATTGACACATGACAACAATACAAGTGTCAAAAATCAGTGTACAAATAGTAAAGTTCAATCGGTAAGAACCTTGCGACATGCACACTATGGTGTACACTTTAGTTTATACTTTGCCACGCGACATTAATATGTTAGACAGTTTAAATTTCAAACAGTTTTACCATCTAATTGACACTTGACAACAATTCAAGTGTCAAGCAACATGTCAAAAATAAGGGTACAAATAGCAAAGTTCAATCAGTAAGAACCTTTCTACATGTGCACTATGGTGTACACTTTAGTTTACACTCTGCCACGTGATATTACCCTGTTAGACAGTTTAAATTTCAAATAGTTTTCTTATCTAATTGACAATTGACAACAATACAAATGTCAAAAATCGTGGCAAAAATCAGTGTACGAACGGCGAAGTTCAATCGGTAAGAACCCTGCTACATGTACTCTATGGCATATACTTTAGTTTACACTTTGCCACGTGACATTACCCCGTTTTATTGTTTAAATTTCGAGCAGTTTTCCCGTTCAATTGACACTTGACAACAATTAAAGTGTAAAACAACGTATCAAAAATCAGTGTACAAATAGCAAAGTTCAATCGGCAAGGACCTTACTACATATACACTATGGTGTAAACTTTAGTTAACACTTTGCCACGTGACATTACCATGTTGGACAGTTTAAATTTCAAGCAGTTTTCCCGTCCAATTCACACTTGACAACAATTCAAGTGTCAATCAATGTGTCAAAAATAAGGGTACAAATAGCAAAGTTCAATCGGTAAGAACCTTGCTACATGTACACTATGGTGTAAAGTTTAGTTTACACTTTGCCACGTGACATTACCCTGTTAGACAGTTTAAATTTAAAACATTTTTTCCATCTAATTGACAATTGATAACAATGCAAGTGTCAAGCAATGTGTCAAAAATCAGTGTACAAATAGCAAAGTTCAATCGGTAAGAACCCTGCTACATGTACTCTATGGCATACACTTTAGTTTACACTTTGCCACGCGACATTACCTTGTTCGACAATTTAAATTTCAAATAGATTTCCCATCTAATTAACACTTGACAACAATGCAAGTGTCAAACAACGTGTCAAAAATCAGTGTACAAATAGCAAAGTTCAATCGGTAAGAACCTTGATACTTGAACATTATGGTGTGCACTTTAGTTTAAACTTTTCCACGTGACTTTACCCTATTGGACAGTCTAAAATTCAAACCGTTTTCCCATCCAATTGAGACTTGACAACAATGCAAGTGTCAAACAACGTGCTAAAAATCAGTGTACAAATAGTAAAGTTCAATCAGTAAGAACATTGCTACAAGTACACTATGGTGTACACATTTTGGTGTACACATTTTAGTGTAAACTTTGACACATGACATTACCATGCTGGACAGTTTAAATTTTAAACTCTTTTTCCATCCAATTGAAACTTGACAACAATCCAAGTGACAAACTACGTGTCAAAAGTCAGTGTACAAATAGCAATGTTCAATCAGTAAGAACTTTGCGACATGTACACTATGGTGTACACTTTAGTTTACACTTTGCCACGTAACATTACCCTGTTGGAAATTTTAAATTTTAAATAGTTTTCCCATCCAATTAACACTCTACAAAAATTCAAGTCTAGAACAACGTGTCAAAAATAAGGGTACAAATAGCAGAGTTCATTTGGTAAGAACTTTACTACATGTACACTATGGTGTACCCTTCAGTTTACACTTTGCCACGTGACATTACCCTGTTGGATAGTTTAAATTTAGAATTGTTTTCCCATCCAATTGACAATTGAAAATAATTCAAGTGTCAAACAACATGTCAAAAATCAGTGTACAAATAGCAAAGTTCAATCGATAAGAACCATGCAACATGTACACCAAGGTGTACACTTTAGTTTACACTTTGCCACTTGACATTGTCCTGTTGGATAGTTTAAATTTCAAACAGTTTTTACATGCAATTGAAACTTGACAACAATGCAAGTTTCAAATAACGTGACGAAAATAAGTGTACAAATAGAAAAGTTCAATCGGTAAGGATCTTGCTACATGTACATTATGGTGTACACATTTTAGTTTGAACTTTACCACGTGACAATACCCTTCTGGACAGTTTAAATTTCAATTAATTTTCCCATTGAATTGGCACTTCACAACAATACAAGTGTCAAACAACGTGTCAAAAATCAGTGTACAAATGGTAAAGTTCAACTGGTAAGAACCTTGCTACATGTACACTATGGCGTACATTTTAGTTTACACTTTACCACGTGACAATACCCTTTTGGACAGTTTAAATTTCGAACTATTTTCACATCCAATTGACACTTGATAAAAATGCAAGTGTCAAACAACGTGTTGAAAATCAGTGTACAAATAGCAATGTTCAATCGGTAAGAATCTTGTTACATGTACACTATGGTATAAACTTTAGCTTACACTTTGCAACGTGACATTACCCTGTTGTATAGTTTAAATTTCAAATCTTTTTCCCATCCAATTTACACTGGACAATAATGCAAGTGTCGAACAACTTCTCAAAAATTAGTGTACAAATATCAAAGTTCAATCGGTAAGAACCTCGCTACATATACACAATGGTGTACACTTCAGTTTACACTTTGCCATGTGACATTACACTGTTAGATAGTATAAATTTCAAACAATTTTCCCATACAATTAACACTTGACAACAATGCATGTGTCAAACAACGTCTCAAAAATTAGTATACAAATAGCAAAGTTTAATCGGTAAGAACATTGCTACATGTACACTATGGTGTACACTTCAGTTCACACTTTGCCACGTGACATTAACCTTTTGGACAATTTAAATTTCAAACAGTCTTCCAATCCTATTGACACTTGATGACAATGCAAGTGTCAAACAACATGTCAAAAATCGGTGTACAAATAGCAAAGTTCAATCGGTAACACTATGGTGTACCCTATAGTTTACACTTTGCCACTTGACATTACCTTGTTGGACAGTTTAAATTTCAAATAGTTTTTCTATCCAATTGACACTTGACTACATTGAAAGTGTGAAACAACGTGTCCAAAATCAGTGTACAAATAGCAAAGTTCCATCGGTTAGAACCTTGCTACATGTACACTATGGTGTACACTTTAGTTTACACTTTGCCGCGTGACATTACCCTATTGGACAGTTTAAATTTCAATTAGTTTTTCCATCCAATTGACACTTGACAGTAGTACAAGTGTCAAATAATGTGTCAAAAATCAGTGTAAAAATAGCAAAGTTCAACCGGTAAGAACCTTGCTACATAATTAGGCGGTGCGTTTCGGAGTGTCGTTTCTCCGTACTCCTAAATGGCCGCCCATGTGGTTTCTTTCCCTCCTCACGAGGACTCAGACAAGGTGATCCTATCTCCCCATCCTTGTTCATCATTGCAGTAGACTACTTCTCACGCTTGCTCACTCAGAGGTTTCAGCAGTATCCCAGTATGTGTTATCGACATGGAGGTAGTGGTCTTGTCTCACATCTCTCATTTGCTGATGATATGATCATCTTTGCCAACGGTCAGAAACAGTCTATCAGGAGGGTCTTAGATTGCTTGGAGCAATATGAAGGAGTTTCTGGCCAATTGGTGAATAGAGACAAGTGTGGTATTATACTATCCAGATGGGCATACACTAGTCAGATCAGACGACTAGAGATTGTGACTGGCTTCAGATATCAGCAGCAGCCTTTCACTTACTTGGGTGTCCCCTTATTCAAGGGGACTAAGAGGAGCTTCCTTTATGATGACCTTATCCAGAAGATAAGGAATAGGATATCAGGTTGGGCCTCACGATTACTATCGCCTGGGGGTCGTATTACATTACTGAGGTCAGTACTTTCTTCCATACCTTTACATCTTCTTCAGATTATGCAGCCACCCAAGGCAGTGCTGAAGAAACTTGAGAGCATCTTTGCCAGATTTCTATGGGATTCTAAGGACGTCTACATTGGAGGAGTTGGAAGGCGATTTGCCTTCCTACTGATGAGGGAGGCCTCGGCTTTAGGAGATTACAAGATGTGGTGGACACCTTCTCCATGAAGCTCTGGTGGCTGTTCCGATCTCAGAGGTCACTTTGGGCTCAGTTTTTACTGGGCATGTATTGCAAGGGGACGTATCCTTTACTTGCAGCAGTTCCCAGTTCAGCTTTCCCTACCTGGAAGAGGCTAAAATCAGTTGGACCACGGATGGATCCACACATTGCTTGGCACCTTGGAACCGGTCAGATTTTCTTCTGGCATGATTGTTGGATGGGCGAGTCCACATTGGCATCCCTATTCCCCCACAGACAGCACACATCTGCGAGGGTACAGGATTTTTTTTTACGACACTGGGTGGGATTTTGGACGGTTATTACAGGCCCTTCCTTCTCACATGGCGGAATAGGTAGGGGCGATACCTTTATGTGCAGATGCCACGGACCGAATTGTTTGGAAAATTACTTCGGATGGTGACTTTACCACCAAATCAGCATGGCAACTAGTCCATTTGGTTCGCCAGCCTCAGGACTTATATCGACTGCTGTGGAGCTCTATCTTGCCTGCCACCATTTCATTCTTCTGTTGGAGACTATGACAGGATCTCATTCCAGTAGATGTTGTATTCAGAGGAGAATTGGATGTCAGTTGGCTTCTCGTTATCAGTGTTGTTCCGAGATTGAGACCATCAATCATATTTTCACGAGCAGCAACATCTCCGACCAGGTATGGCAGCACTTTGGAGACATCTTTCAGATACCTATGACTTCAGGGGAGGGGGTCAGACAGAGGTTCCAGAGATGGCGGTATTCTGGACAGCACATTTACCGTGGACACATTCGTATTATCATTCCTCTACTGATATTTTGGTTTCTATGGACTGAGAGGAATGATGCGAAGCATAGAGGTATTCGTATGGTGGCTAGACGTATTATTTAGAGGGTCTACCGCATGATCTCCTTTCTTCATATGGAAGGACTATTCCGAGTTGAGCATTAGCGAGGAGATGTGACACTTGCACCTTTTTTTGGCATTTCTTTGACCCGTCCTCTCCCACCACCACCTATTATGGTTGTTTGGCGCACTCCACCAGTTGGATCCTACAAGATCAACACTGATGGATGCGTCAAAGATGGATTTGCAAGTGGTGGAGGCATCATTAGGGACCACGCAGGATATTGTATCAGGTCATTCTCAGCATCGTATGGTCCATGTTTCATTTTGGAGGCTGAACTCAGAGCCATACTAGATGGGCTTCTATTGGCCAGAGGACTTGGGATTTCAGCTATCTGGCTCGAGGCAGATTCAACATTGGCTATTCACTGCATTACCAAAGGTGGAGGACCATGGTTGATTCAGGGTATTCTTAGACAGATCAGAGACCTCATCTACTTCAATAGAGACACGGTTTCACACATCTACAAAGAAGGCAACCAGGTTGCTGATTCTCTTGCTACAGAAGGCTGGAATCATCGGCGCTATCTAGAGTATGGACCACTAGAATTGCCTCGACATATTAGGGCGATAGTGCAGATCGACAGACATGGATTGCCCAGTTTCAGAGGTTCGTAATTGAGGCTATTCTTTATTGTATAGGGAAGTAGTACTTCCTCATTTATTGCTTTCATTTATTATATTCATTTGTTGCATCACTGCTTTTTGGAGGTCAGGTTCATGCCCCCCTCCTTCCGTGTATTCTTGATTTTTATGAAACAAATATGGTTGGGAAACCCTTAACCCCCATCGACCTTCCTTGGTGGACCCTAAAAAGTCACTAAGGATGTGTGGATGTCTTTACCAAAAAAAAAAAAAAAAAAAAACGAACCTTGCTACATGTACACTATTGCGTACACTTTTGTTTACACTTTGCCACGTGACATTACTCTTTTGGACAGTTTAAATTTTGAACTATTTTCCCACCCAGTTGACACTTGGTAACAATACAAGTGTCGAACGACGCGTCGAAAATCAGTGTACAAATAGCAAAGTTCAATTGGTAATGTAAAACTCCGAATTTTGTGCTCATTTAGTTTTCAGAATAGCAATTTAACTTTTCAAAATTTAGTATGACCAAAAAAATTATTTATGGTTGCCAAATTTTGCATTGGTTGATTTATTAAAAGTTTTTCCAAATAATTTGTTAATTAGAGGTTTGGGATAAATGTCCATTTTACACCTAATTACTAAAGTTAAACATTGTTTCTCCAACTTGGCCAAAGATTGATGAAACATATATGCATGAGGTGTTTTAAATTTAAGCATGAGGGGACTAGCCAATGCATGAATTGTTTAAATTTAAGCATGAAGTGGCTAAGGCATGCATGAGGTGTTTTAACTTAAGCATGTGGTGGCTAAGGCATGCATAGGTGTTTAATTGAAGTTAAGGTTTTCTTTCATGCTGCCTACGTGTAGAATTGGTTGAAGAGTCACCCAAAATTTATCATTTTTCTCACCTATAAATAGATGTATTGCTGCCCTTTATTTCCCTTGCATGAAAAACAACTTAACACTTGTTTATAAAAGGGCAGAAAACGTGAGGAAAGAAGAGGACCAGCCTAGCATTTCTCAATTCATTTTCAACCAAGATTTCTTCAAGTTTTATTATAAGATACTTTCTATGCTTAAGTGGTATGATTTCATGGTAATATTTATGCTTAAGCTATGCATCAAAACCCATAATATGAATGTGGTGGACAAGTCCACAAAGTTAGATATCTATTTATGCCTTAGGACAAGTCCGAAGGGCACCGGCAAGCCGGAATGTGCAAGAATGTGTTTGATTGCATTCTTTTGTGTAGTATTAACATGTTAAAATCCAAGCATGGTATCTTACTGAGTATTCTTTATACTCATAATGTTCTATACTAAATTCTCAGATTCATAATTGTGGAGTTGGTGGAAGTCAGTCGGCATAATCGATGATGGATTAAGGACAAGGTTGTTTTGCATCGAAGTTTTGTTTTTGCATGTATTTGTCCGACTGCTTTCCATATGTTTTCGTATGGTATTGTATAAAAACACGTATGAGACATGATATAATATGGTACCAGAAGTAAATTAAGCAATTATATCTTCTATGTTGTGTTAATAGACCTTTTTTTTAAAAAACTTCTCCTTGCAAGTGACAAAAGGCAGAAACGGGACAGTTCTTAGGTCAACTTCAACACGTTATTTTTGACTCCATAAACGTCTATTTGAGGCTCTGAAAATATTAATGGATTCCTAATTGAGTTATCTTAATATGGGCACAAGAATCACTCAATTTGGATATCTGTAGCCTGAGATATGAATTTTTAAACGTTGAAGGGTCAAATCTGAAATTTCTGTGCAATACCTCACTGTTTTCAGTAAAATGCCCATATTATATGATCTTGGAAATTTTTTATATTTTAACCTAGAAAACTAATTGAAAATATCTTTCTAATGTCATAAATTTCATAGGAAACAGAGTTGTGATGAATTTTATAAAAATAGTCGAACTTGCTGCCCCAACTATCCGTGGCAGTGCAGAGTTCGTATATGTAAAGCATAATTTCTTGTCGACATGCGCTTCTGCGGGCCATTAAAAGTTATGAGAGACATTTACCAAGTTGAAAATAAGTTTCTAACATGTAATACTTCTATTTAAGAGTATTTACATGTACTAAAGGCAGAAGCTTTTATGTTTAGTACGTGACACTCGAAACTTAAGTTTGGGGCGTCACAGCGTGGTATCAGAGCAGTTATACTTTTCTGTAGACCTTTTTTTAAGAAAGTTATTGTCCTTCATCATCGAGCAAGCTAGCAACTGACTTTCAACCGACGATCAAGGTAAAAACTTTTTTTTAAGGTTTATGAGTTTTCTTATGCAATGAACTGCTATATATCTATGGCTGGATCTAGGAATATTTTGAATCAAGTCATAGTTGAGATTATGAAGTCATAAACGCATATATCTAAATATTTATTAGAGCCTTGTAGAGTAACATAATCAATTTTTGTCCTAGTTATGGCATGAATGGTAAGAACCCCCACAAGGACAGAAGTTTATGGTTTTGCGAAGAAGCGGGACATATTATTGGCCTTTTACAATAATTATTGTATGCATCCGCTCCATAGCCTCGAACAACATCTTGATCTGCTAAACTATATTATTGAGATGTTATGGGAGATACACCATAGTTTAAGGGATAAGGTGAAGATACGGAGGTTATATGAAACTGTTCCAGAACCTTAGGCTTCGATCATAAATGAGATTGTGCTATGGTCTGACGATGACCTTTCATACGAGGACCTTACATATTTACTTCGAGAAAGTTATGAAACTAGCCGCGATTTACAGCGAAACTTTAAGAAGACTATAACGTTATCCATGAATACTAGTTTACGAGCTACCAATTCTAGGCTAGATAAGGGACCATTGGCTAAGTGCTTTTCGAGAGTTCTAGATGAAAGTTTTCTCGTACCATTACCAGATAATTTGGAGCAAAGCATGTTAGAGGAAGGACCAAAGGAAGACCCAGATGAAGACCCTTATGAGGATCCAGAAGAAATAGAAGATTAAACACCAACTTATCTAGCTATCTTTGTTTTTTTGGAATAGAATAGGATGTAATACGTACATCTACTTTTGAATGTATGTACCGTACCTCAATATGACTTTTGTTTGTGAAAAAATAATAATGTATATATATGAAGGAAAGTTGCCTTGGCCTTTGGATTTTTTTCTAAAGTTAGTATTACGTTATGAAGTAATTCTAACTGGATGAATATTTTTCATTCAAAGGAAATGCCTCCAAAGTGCAACCATGGCAGTGCACCAAATTCCAATGTGAACTTAGGCGGCGGTAATGCTAATGCTAGTTCTAGTGGTGGCGAAGTTAATGCAGCAAACTTTGCACGAGAATTGCTTGTCGTAATGCGAGGGTTTGGGACAGCAACAACAGGCACCACCTTTGACTGGGCAACAAAGCCTAAATCAACAAGTACCAGTTGATCATCAGGAGCCCAACCAACCAGCTATTCAACCTCAAATAGTACCTAACTCGAGGGATCGAACTGCAATGATAGAGCAGTTTCGTAAAA